AAGCGTGAACATGGAACTTTAGCTCAGTAAGGAGTTTAGATAGTCATGGAGTACATCAATGCGCTATATAGGCGATATAACCAGCATCCGTTTTGCGCTATACATTCAAAAATCCTTCGAATCCACCACATATGACCTCAACATCCTCTTATATCTTACATCAGATAACCATACACACAAGTCTATGCTTACATGCATGCGTATCACATCTCCCGCTCTCTCTAAGCTCACTTAATCCTCTCTTATCCTCTCTTAGTGAATCTTTGCATCCAATTTTAACATTTCAAACACTGTTATGCAAAATTGCGATGAATTGGAAATTTTCATGAAAGGAAAAATTTCCATTGTTCGACTGTTTCAATCCCTTTGAGCTATGAAAGTGCATCTATTACGTTGTGCTTCCGCAGTTGTGCGGTTTTCTGGGGTTGGAGTAAAACTACGGTTCGTTTGAAGACTTTTGTCAACGGATAAGTTGCAGACGAAAGAATGAGGCCGAAAGCTAAAGGCGAAATGCGTTCATTTTATGAATGTGAGTGAAGCGATCTTATTCACATCTCTCCAAAAAATGCCATTGTATCAGAAGTCTCCATCGGTCTCGATAGAGATAGAGATTTTGCGAACACAACAACATGTATCTCTTCGTCCACATAAGGTCGTTAATTCAAGGATCTAATCTGTAATTCAGAATGCGGATTTATGTGTGCAGAATATATTGATTCAGGTCAAAACTCTCCATCTTTGACAATGTTAACGAGGCCCGAGAATGCAAATCAAATGGATACTGCAATGGTGAGTGAGGTTTGAGTCCATCTCGAGGAATTGAACCTGTAAATATGATCGTATAGTTCAAATTCTCCATGTTTCCTCACAATCAACGACCAAAAAGGAAGTGTTGTATATTTCCAATCTGTGTGTACACTTCAGAATGCGAATTTGTCGAAATCTGCGGTCGAGAAGGAAATCAAACGACAGAAACAAGCGAATGAGAAGATGAAAAAACTGGTTGGATGTTTCAATGTTGATCCAATCTACTGTTTGATGTTACAAAGTGATAATGACATACACGGCAATGAAATCAGGAAATGCATCGTCTTGGAATTGTTCACTATGAATTTCAGGTTGATCCTTGGATTGAACAAACATTAGCCAAAGGAGTTTTGGGTCTTCAACAAGAATTTGCCGATCTCACTGGCACCGTAGATCCCACATTGATGAAATCGTTCTTTCAGAACACTTCAACTGGTCGTAACAGATATCGGGTATGATGTTATGTAGTGTAACTCCTAGTGATATCAAACAAAACTTAAAGTCATTGAGATCTGAATGTGCATAACACCTTTATTACCGTTCACAGCGTTCCTGAAGATCCGGTCAATTGATTGTCGAGTTCTTCAAACGGTCCAATCGTTTAATTTCGTCGGAATTTTCTATTCATTGATACTCAAGATCGAAATATTTGAGTACGAGAATTTTAAGATTGCAAACACAACTATGAACCTATAAGAACTTATAAGGACAAAAATATGAACTTATAAGAAAACTCAGTAGAAAAAATTGACAAATATAAGAATAGCTGTTCCCTAACAAGCTAAGGTAATGATGATCAAAATTGACTGCTAAGAATTGTTCAAGGATATCGGTTGTCTTGAATCAACGCGTGTAGTGTTGGATAAGACCGCAGCGAGTGGCAATGATTATATCCATGCGAATTTCATTTCGACACCATTCAAACAAAAACGTTTCATTTGTACACAGGTTCATGGTTAATGTATTCACTGCAAATGAGTTCTAGAATTTGCATGCGAAATTTTAAATCGTAAATAGTGGAATAGTTACATTGTTCTCGCATGATTCCATGTTTATTGCAACAATAGATAGTCAACAGACAAACAAGTGAATCGAGAGCAAATTCAAGAGAATGAGAGTTCAGTGAGAATTACACTCTAACGCTTGACGAGAAGAATGAGAAAAAGCCAACAAGAGAAGGCTTTTAATGTAAAACAGTGA